TTCGATATCTTTCATATCTCCGGTGGTAAATTAGGAATAGTGGATTATTTATCCCGTTATCCAACATTTGAAGCACCGCGACCGAGTAATTTTGACGAACAATATGTGGTCAAATGTATTAACCGATTCTTTGAGGCATGCGATTTCTTAGACGAGTGGGCCAATTATCATTCCCTTTCTAAAGAAGTACCTGATATCACAAAAATTAGCCAAAATTCTGTTGTATCCGATAATATTAATCTAATGAAGTCATTGGATATCAGTCAGTCTCGGGTTACTTGTTCCGAGTTAGACAATTTAATTGTCTCATCTAACAAGTTTAGAACTCTATCGGTAGAGGGCGCTCTAATTCAAAACAATCCATCTACTTTGCATAAAGTAAAACCGATAGAGGGCGACAAAATTTTAGCCAGTGAACAAATTGAATTATCTCATCAATTCAATAAATCAGTCCTTTCTCCGCTAGAGGGCGTCCAAATTGTTGGTTCAAATTCTGGCCAATCAGCGTTGAGGAAATTCATGCCGACTTTTGTCACTTTCTCAGCATGGTTTCCATTCTATCTGCCAGTTCTAATTTCCTTGTGGTTTATTACTTTGGTCGTTAGTAATGTTGATCTGTTGTCGTCGTTAATACAATTTTTCGCCTCGGTTTTATTGTATTCGATTTGTTGGAACGCAACCGGGTTATTGGGTGCTTTTCTTGTTCAGACTGCGATGAATCCCAATACACGTAATACCAGTGCTAACAACACGAATGACAGTTTCGAGCAGCTGTTAAACCAATATCCGCCAGTACATCAACATTGGTTTTCTTCGGATAGAGCTAGGCCGCGGTTTCGCGCGGGGGCTGTACGACCCATTTGGTCGTCAACTGTTCAACGAGGAGTAGAATTAAAGAACCAATTTGCCCGTATTTTAGCAAATTTCCGATCCAAAAGGGCCAAGAAAACTACGATAGCAAAACAGCACAGTCAATCAGTTCAGAGTCTAGAAATTCTAAAGGCACCAGTGGTCGCGAAGGACCAGAAGTCGATAACCGGGTTGGTGGGCATTCTGGATTCCGATGTATTATCGGAACTCACGGACGAAGATGCCAGTCTATACCTCATGAAACGGGCCATAGTTAATCGGGACTACGAAGGATTTTGCCGTATCGATCCCTAAATCAAATCTTTTTGGCATTGTGCAGCGGTGGTTGATGGCTGTGTTGTTGTGGATAATAGGATCGCGATACCCATGTGTTTACGTAACCCTTACTGTCTCGACTCCATCGGTCGCATGCGGGTCAGTTAGCCATGGTTGACGCGGCGCAAAACATCTGGTGGCCCCGAATGCATCGTGATATCGTCCAACTTTGCAAAGACTGTCCCCAGTATACAAAGTTTGGTAAGAATTTGAAAGCGAATGCTTCATTTAACTCTTCCAAGCCTTTAACCCTTTTATCTGGTCCTAATGAAGAGCTGCAGCTCGATTATGCAGGCCCCCTAATTGACTCGTTTGGTAACAGTATTTATATCTTGGTCGCGATCGACCGTTATTAAAAATATCCGTCGGCTATGATCACGCGTTCCACGGGAGGACGGAAGATTATTAAATTTCTTAAATCGTATATACAACAACATAGTATCCCCAAATCTATCAAAACAGACCAGTACTCTGGTTTTAAGAACAAATTAGTGCAACAATTTTGTCTAGATAAAAATATTGCTCATTTTTTCTGTCCTGTGGGGGACCATCGTGGTTGCGGTTTAGTAGAAAGGTCGATCCAAACGATTAAACGTAGGTTGGGCGCCTCACGGCTGAGTTCGGATTTTTCAAATGTCCAAGATACTCTTCGGAATATTATTGAAGACATCCGAATTACGAAAAATTCTGTTACTGGTGTTTCACCTTTTGAACTTCATTTTGGCCGTCCTCCGAATACGGAGCTATCTATTGCGGCTGAGCGCTTATCTTCGGGAGTTCATTTAGATAATCAACAGTTGGCACGGGACTTATTAACACCTGAACAGCGTCGGGAGCAGTGTGACAGCCGACCTAGTATCAAAGTGGTAAGGAAAGGGCAGTAAAGCCCAACGGTGTCTCCACATTTTGGTGGAACTACTGATTCAGTCGCAGACACACCCCACTACCGTGCACTAGAGAGCTTGGCACACTCAGCCAATCAGTGGCTAACTTTGAAAAGGTCATTATCACATCAGGAGGGAGTCAAAACACTGAAGACCTTAACGGAAAGAAACCAAGTCCTCGCAGCCACTCTTCGATCAAACTTGTCAGCCGGTACCCTCAGATTCAGGAACCAAATGCAAATGGATCAGATTCGCCCGTCGGTGACAAAACGTAATTTGGATTACTTAGTATTGAACGAGCCAAATAAAGTCGAAATATTTAGGAAATTTCTCAATAGGAAGTCCGGCAAAGAACTTTTCAAACCTTTTAAGGGCATAATCGTGCGGGTTACTGGGTCTAAATATATTACCGATAAAGGAAAGGTGATTAGAAGAAATCATCTGGCAGTACGCCTTAAGTCAACCAATCTAAGTTTTTCAGGAAAACAACAAACTCCGGTCAAGAAGGGGCAGAAACGCCCGATTGTGTCATCGTCACCATCTTCATCTGAAGATAACAGGCCACTCAAACAGTCAAGTTCCCGCCAGTGTATCACAGCGAAAACAGTACACGTGCCCACCCGTTCAAAGTTTCCATCTGTGACAAGCTCACATACCCCTCCGCGTGGCCAAATGGTGCTACCAGGGTCGTCTAGGCCAAGAGAAGTTGCAATCTCTGAGGCTCCAGGTGTGCGGAATATTCCTTTCCCACAACACTCTACCCCAGTGGTAGACTTAACCGCTTCCTCTTCTACGTCTGGCAATCAAGGTACGGAAGTTCCTATCAGCATCATTCCAAAATCGCCGACTCCAGCAAAGATTCCAGTTCCAGTACGTACAGATCTTATCCCTATCTCCTCTGACGATGAATCGTCAATTCCGAAATCCCAAGAAGGAATTCAACCAACTACGGCAGCATCGGGTCTTCTCTCCCAAGATGTTCCCGTCATCCTGACCGAACCGGATGGAAATGTATCCTCCTCTTCAAATTCGTCGCGGGCCTCCTCACGACGGAAAAAGCAGACTACGTTTTATGGTAGTCCCATGCGACATTCCGTGAATGTCATTGACTCTCAGTCAGTATCCACACCTCCGTCAACACCTGCTTCGCCGGACAAGAAGGTCCGTTTTGTAGAGGCTACGTCAGATCGTTCCTATCAAGCAGGGCAGTCTCGGGAAGTTCCTCCCGATAATTCAGGGATTGTGTATAGGAGATTCACCCGTTTTCCTACAAAAAGCCACTCCGACCACCCTATGCGTCGGGCCGATAAATAAATTGATGATGCCTTCAGCCCAGTTAAACTTTAAAACTTTCTGTAGCATATCTACAATGTCACATCAGTCAAAACTTTTAAAACTCCCAGGGTTACCTGTTACATTACGCATTGTTCTCGTATGTAAGATTTATACTAAATTTTTCTTTGTCATAGTAAAGAAATTCGAACGTTGTTCGAATTTTCCCGAGAGGGGGAAATGTGGTACGGCGTAGTTTAGAGATCATAATGTTATTACTCTTGTGCTAGCTATCTGTGCTAAACTCGCCTTTGTCTATCAAGGTAGTGACCGACCTGCCAATCCGTTCTAGTTTTAACACATAAGTTCTCATTCATTCTTCTGCAACTTATGAAAGATTTAAGTTGTATTTATTTCATTGTCATGACATAATCTAAATACTAAACTATCTATATTATTTACATTACTATAAACATAAACAAGGAGAATTGATTCTTGTTTAACAACTGTCTTTTATCATTCCACACTCAGCACTTTTCTGATGTTTTTTTCTTTTTTTTTGTTTGACTATTTAATTGAGACCGAAGAGGAGGCATGCTAAACACCAGTAGACAAGAGTCAAACTTGTTATAAGATATGAAACTGTACACTATTAGTGATTTTTGCAAAAGGGAGCATTAAGTCTTCTCTTTTGTTTTTGCTCTATATCAGCTGTTTCTTCAATAATTCGTCTAAAAATAAGTGTTGCTTGATTGAACTGATATACATTCTCATGGTAACTCATGAGCAGACATATTTCATGCCCTCTCAGTCTAGCTCTCTTAATTGTGCTCGCTGATAGATATTTTTGAATGTTTTGAATTTTCCAAGGACCAATATTTGTCTATTATGGAACCTGATCTAGACTACATTTTATGATTGGATAATTTAGATATTTTACCAATGTAAAGTATTTAATATTAACCAATCATGATCCATCTAACTAACAACCCACTTATTTGTAAGTGCTGAAGTTACTTGTAATTTCAGCACCAGAGAGATTTGAATTTAACTTAGAAATTAGTTGGACTCTCCCGAGCACTTCAGCAGCCGCAATAAACCAGTATACCCTAGATCTATTGAGCCTAGCAGAGACTAGTTAAACAACCTGAGACTAGATAGTATAAGAGTAAGATTAGGATCGGTATTAGACTAAGAAGTTGCACGAATCTATCCGGCCGAAAATAAGATAGCGTGACGAGCAGACGGTGTACCCTATCCGAAATTACTCTATGAGTTAACCAACTCGGTCCTAACTCAATTAGCTTGAATTTAGTTCTTTCTTATATCTTTCTCTCTTTTTCGTTTCTTTCTTTGCGCAGAGATGGCCGCTATTTTATATTTGTGCACATTAAATCAAGATCTTGATTTTCTTACGTATGTGCACAATGGGAAATCCCTCATGAGAAAACCACTGAATGATAGATAATTATAGTAGCGAATCGAAACTTGGTTTTAAGAATATGAAAGAAAACAGTGACCCTTTAGTAAGATTTGTGGATAGCCTAAAGCTTTCGATGGGTCGGATGTTTGTAACACTTGGACTATCTGTCCTGAGAATAGCCGGGATATGTTTTGTTTCGGTTAAGTAATATTGGATTGTGTGTGTTTGTGCATCAGCCGAGTATGCGTGAGCTGGAAGTTTATCTGAGGGTGAGTGATCGGATGAATGACGCCAACTCACTGGACAGTGCAGCCGGGGAGTACAGTGAGATGCGGGTGGCAGTGTCCGTGGCCAACCTCAACGACCAGCCAGTCGTCTGCTTCTCCTCCCTCGTCAGGTACAGCACCAAATCAGCATAAAGTAGTCTAAAAATAAAAGAAAACAGCAAAGTTAGAAGACAGCTTTAAAAATAATTTCAACAATGAAGTCATCTTTTGTTTTAATGTGGTTAGACTATCTATGTGTGTTAGATTTGTGGTGCAGGATGGTGCCTCCGGCAGTCTGACCAGGATTGAGTGCATGGACCCAGACAAACAAGACTTCCAGCCTGGCTGCAGTCTAGTCTCAGCAAACGCAGCATTCTCACTCGCCAGCGCCACAGGTACACACTCTAGCATGTATTAAATCTAGTAAGCGTCAAAACTGTCCTTGATTTCTTGATAACGGGATCAACACTAAAGTCGTTTTAATAATTTTACTATGTTTATCTGTTCAAGTTAGTCAAGTACTTCCGATTGGGCCACATTATGGTAAATTAGGGTAAGTTTAGGGTCACGGTCATCTAAAAATGGGTTTCTAAAATGGATCCTTTTTAGCAATTAACTCTTGTTTAAAATATAAATGTACCATGACAGGGTACCGAGTGACAGACTTTGTGGGAGCGTGTGAGATAGAGTACACTTCGATAGAGCGGGATGCCACTGACTGTGGGGGGAGTACCTTCTGCTTCTCCCTCGAGGTCACCGACTGGGCAGACACCCCCGGCACTGTGAACACTGCCACTGTACAAGTTGTGGTGGAGGTACACGCACACTCTTTCATCCTATTTCTTCTCCTCCAACCACAAAAATAGACATCATCTATATTAGTTTACTATGGAAATGGAAAAAGAGTCATGGTTCAGACCGCCAAAGCAGCTTATATGTAGCAGTTGGATCCAACTCAATGAAAAAATGAAAAATGGAAAATTTTTATAAAATGCAACAGAAACTGGTATTCCAATGCAAGAACTGTTTCATAAGAAAGCAGAAACATATTTTTCAGAGCCTCGATATCTCTATTTTGGAGACGCAGCTATCAAACTGGAACAAATGGCAATAAATGCGTTTCTAACAGCGAAAAAGGGATGCCGTGGATGCACAGTTTCACACTGATTGAGTTTTTGCGTTGTTACTTTAGGTTGAACCGTATGACGACGGAGGCACGATGAGTCTGTCAGCTGGAAGTACCTCGTTCGCAGAGTCAGATACAGTGGGAACGTGCAAGGACACCAAGACACTCATGACCTTCTCCGACACAGAGACAGACTTCGACCACTTCTGGTCCTTCTCTCCCTCGGACGACCCCTTCATCATGAACCCACTCACGGGGGAACTATGTCTCACAGAGCAGATAGACTACGAACTACATTCTCAATTCGTGCTCACAGTCCAAGTCGTCCGAGACACTCCCACCAATGTCTACCCCAATATCCCGACAGGCCAGAGTGAGACATTGACAATCACAATCACAGACACTAATGACGAGCGTCCTGTGGTCCATGGACTGACAGACTACTTGCAGATCAGTGCAGGTGCTGTAGCTGGGAACCTGATGACATTCACAGTGTCAGACCGGGACACTACGGGAACCATTGTGACAACCATGACTGCCCAGACCCCAGATGACGCCCTCTTCTCCATGGCCGCCTGTTCTACCTCATGCACCCTGGCACTGGCAGCCAGTCCTGACCCGGACACTATGAATGCTGACTCGTACAAAGTGACCATTCAGGTGACAGATGGTGCTAACACTGTGACGACATACGTGTGGGTGGACATCATCACTGCCAATGACATCACACCTGTCCTGGCAGCCACTCCAGCATCACCCTCAGTCAGTTGTGAACAGACAAATCATCCCTTTTGAAGTTCTTTCTAGCGATATGATCAGTAGAAACTGTAAAATGTGATGAAAATATCAGTAGGATCACTCGAAGACTAAATTATTAACTAATTTAGAGCTCAACTTCAATTCATATCTGATGCATAGGATAACTAAGAGACAATAAAAGATATGAGAAAAGAACAAAAAGAAATGATTTTTTCTTCCAATTCTCCAAATTTTTGCGCTAGTCTTATATTGTGCAAGTCACCCTTGGCTATTTCCACAGCAGCAGGTTGTTCGTTCTCTCATTGAATAAATATGTCGAGTGTAGATAGACGAGAGTACTGCCACGGACACTTTGATCAGCACCGTCTCAGCCACAGACGCGGACTTTCCCTCGGGGGAGACAGGGGCGGACTCCGTCTTCTACTACATACACAGTGTGCAGAGTGGGTTCGGAGCAGGTACATCAAATACAGACCATATACTAACAAGGAGTAGATTCAGTCTCGACTTACGCGGGAGCGGGTAAGGGGGGGGGGGGGGAGGAACTTTAAGCCATTTGAGAATATCAGATCAAAATGTTTTCTTTTCTCTCTTGTATCTCAGAAAACAGAAAATGTGCCAAAATCTTCAGCAGGACAGCGATAAGTTTTTCTGGGCATTGCTGAAAATTTTGAGCTCAAATCCATAACTCATTGAGCAGCCATAACGCACCCCCCCCCCCCCCTTGAGTTTTGTAACCAAAGTATATTGGAGCTTTGGTTGAATATGCATTCGTGGATAGTGATGTTAGTTGTGTCGTTCTGCCAGATGAGTCGTATGTGTCGATTGGACGGAAAAGTGGGGAGATCAGACTGAGGAGACAGTTCGACATAGACCAGGCAGCAGACACCACCTACATCATAACTGTACGTGTCCGTTATATCCCTACCCCCCCCCCCCCCCCAACACACACAACACGCACAAGCACTCTCTCTCTCTCTCTCTCCTAGTTTATTCTTCACTCATATGTTCGATTAGTTCGAACTGAGGATTGGCCAAAAAAAGCAACAGTGCAAATATCCGATATAAGAAACATCCGAAAAACACATTACGAGGCCAAACTGTGCATTTTGTGCCTTGTAAGCGGATTCCGCAAGAAGGACGCTCCCTTTGTTCTTTTTTTGTTCTTCCACTTTCTTTGATCGTTCCGACAAAAACTTCACATGTTTAGAGATTTGTCAATGAAATCCACGAACATGCAGACACGTAATTGTGCGCCTATCCAGTGCCCAGTTTGGCCTCGTAATGCAAAGTTTTGCAAACATCCAAAAAACATCTATAAAACATCCAACATTTTTCTACCGCTCGCAAAAAAAAATCTTTTTCTGACCAATTAGATAGTCACTGTTAGTGACCGCTGCAGTCGCGATAACGTGTTGTGAGCTTGCCCAAGGAGGCGATGAATGTTTTCGAAAATTAGAGCCGGTTAGTTAAAAGCAACCAAGAATTTAAACCGACAACCGACAAAACTGGAAAAAGCTAAGCAAACTATGCTTTGTTTTTAAGTTTTAATTCTATCTTGTGAAAGTTTAGAATTTCAGACGTTTTTTTTTCTAAATATTTCAAAATTCAAAAATGATCAATTTTTGGAGTGTTACAGCTTGCATTGCTTGCTCTAAAAGTTTTTCAGATAAAGTTTTAATAATCAATAATTATAATCATATATTGTTTTCAAATTGATATGTTTCATAGTTTCATCGTTTCATTACTTACTCAAAAAAAACCTTTTTTTAGGTTCACTTTCACATCTTCACAATCAATTTGACAATTTTAAACTTTCATTGCTGCTGTTCCTTGCACGAATTTTTCAATTTTGGTTAAATAATTCAACAGAATTATTCAGTTTTTTTTGCTTGAGTTGCGTACTCGCAAACTCTACATATTTAAGAATCAGTTCGAGCCTTGTGAATAATTTGGAATTTTTCATTAATTATCTGAAGAAAATGCTGGCTCAAATTTTTTTTCATCACATTATCTAGCCTTCGAGATCAGTTTTTGTTTAGAAAACTTTGTTAGAAAAAAACTCAAGATAATTGAAAATCAAGTCTTCAATTAATTGGACAATTTTGAAGTTTTTTTCAGATAATTTTTTTCTTGAAAAATTGAAATTTTTGGGAGCGGCTTTACCATACAAAAAACAGTATTCAAATTCAAATCAACTAAACAGCTTGGTTCGAAAATTTTACATGAGTTGTACAACGTTGAATGCTTTAAGCATGCTGTTTAACTGATTTGAAATTGAATACTGTTCTAATATTTTTTGTATATTAGAGCTGCTCGTAATGAATTCAGATTTTCAAGAAAATTCTTGAAAAAACTTTCAAAATTAGCCAAACATTTGGAGCTTGATTTTCATTTATTTCAATTTTTTTTAAAATAAATTTTTTTTTAGAAATTCATCTCGAAGGCTGGATAATGTTGGTGTGAAATTTTCTTCAAGCATTTTCTTTCAATATTTAAAAAAAATTCCAAATTTTTGACAAGGCTAAAAGCTAAAAAAAATTGATCACATCTGAAGTTTTATATTTGAAAGCTTTTGTTAATATCTGAAATGTCTACAAGCACACCAAATCAAGCTAATATTGTTAACCGATTTAATTTATATTTAATTCGGCCATTTAAAAAATGTGGAGACGTTTGGTATTTGAGTGTGTTTCAATTTTTTTCTTCTTTTTTTTTGTTTTCTACGCAAACTCGATTACCACTAATAATCATCAGAAAGAATCGTGTGAGATATCACAATAAAATCCTTTCAATTGTGTAAGGTTTGTCAAACTAAGGTTTGCAGGCTTACACCAGCTTATATAAGCTTAATTTAAGCCGTAAAAGTTTACTCAAGTAAAGTTATACTCCGGTAAAATTAGTTTTAAAAATTTTTAGTACAATTTTGGTAATCAAAAATTTCGATTTTTGTTGTTTTTGTTTCTGATCATTTTTCTACAGATACTGGTTCGAAATTGGCGTTTTTAAAATTGATATTCATATTCGCATACTTTTTTTTGTTTTTTTTTAGATCTAATTATTACACCATATAAAAAAAATGACACAGATTTGGAAAAACAATTGTAAATTTTCAAGATTATGGTCGGAGCTTTCTGTATTGCTTGCACAAAAACCGGAGTTCCTTGTACTTTCTTGAATTTTTCGCTGAAAATTCTTTTATAGGCATTTGATGCTAATCTGAGCAGTTACTTATAGAATTATTTCAGACGCTAATATTTGCTTGCTTTACTGAAATCATTCTTCAACACGAGCTGTCAATGTCAGCGAGATGTTTTTAAGTACAATTTTTATAAAATTTTTGTTCATTTTTTTGTTATCTGATGCAGTCCGTAATTCAGTTCAAGCTATTCGAAATAATAAGAGAAAAATTTCGACTAGCTTGGACCAAGGATAATTCGGCGAATTTTATTTCCAAGTTTCCTCTCCGGATAGTTTTAATAAAAATTAAAATTTTGATGAACTGTTTCAAGCAATCAGATCAAATTGGATCAACGTCTTGCCTCACATTTTTTCTGATTGAAATAAGGTTCCTATCGAAATTCTCTGTTTATTATTCAATGCAAGCAAAAAGTTCCATTTACTGATTAGCTTGCCAGAAAAGCAAAAAAGTTTTACCTTTTAATTAAAATTTTTCAAAATGTTCGAAGTCTTATGGTTTTAAAGAGCGTACTAAAAAAATCTCATTTTTTCAAATAGTTCGAGTTATCAAAACTTTCTGAAAAACTTCTCCGATTGATTTGTTTAATCGAAAAAAAATTTTGGTGAAAAATTTGATGCTATACAATCAACCATTAGTTAGAATCAACCGCTTTTGATATCAATTACCGGCTATCTTAACCAATGGTGCATTTGTCGGTACATTCAATCTATCATATGTAACTTTTTCCTTCTCCTTTTCATCCCTGGAAAGCCGGCTTCAAATGTTTCAAAAAAATGCATGTATCAAAAGTCGCATGTATTAAAATCAATTTTCATTATCATTCCTTTTTATTTTTCCTGCAAATCAGTTGTCTGCCAAGATTTGGAAAACATAAAATTTAATTTGAAACAAGGATAACCGGTTGCTGTGTCTTTTTGAAAAATACAAGAATTTTTAAAAAAATTTGTGTAGTTTTTTGAAAACCAAAGAAAATGGAGAGAAACTTTTTATTCGCGTGTGTTTTATGTTCGCCCCGTTTTGTGATGTTTTCTACGCAAAATGGAGCGACTTATCATATGCAAGCACTTTTAGTCATGATTCGAAAGACATAAGAAAATAATTTCGAATTTTTTGTAATTTCTTTCGAGTCACGACTGAAAACACTTGTATATCATATGTCACTCCACTTTGGATAATTTATTTAAACAGACAATATGCAAGGAAAACATCACAAAACGGGGGAAAAATAAAACACGCGAATACAAAATTCCCCTCCATTTTCATTTTCAATTCAACCTTTTAAATCAGCTGGACATATTTTAAACCGTTTTAATTGCTTGCTTGAAAATTAAACATTTGCATTTTGTCAACAAGGATGACTGGTTTCAGTGCAAATAGCTCCGAATTTTCCGACCGTAATTTTAAAAACGTAAAGAAAATTATACTTTTCTTTCTTCAAATTAGTATTGTTTTCTGTGCAAGATAGCAAATTCTGAAGAAACAACAACCCAAATTTGCAGAAAATTTTTTAAATTAGGCTGAATTGACTACAGTTGTCCTGAAAAAATGAACAAAAATAAGTCAAACGAAACAAATCACTGTCATTTTCCAAAAAGGGCAAAAAAAGTTCTTCCAACTAGTTTTCCTTTTTTCCCCACGATTGCTTTAGTTGCTCCTACTTCAACTTTAAATAAAATTTTAAATCGGGTTTTTTCGAAACTTTTTGAAAATTTTTGAATCTTTAGTTCTAATTTTAGCGCACAGAGCTTTGAAATTATATATCAGTCGACACATTCAAATAATTATTTCTGTTACTTGTTTTTGCGTGGAAAATAAAGAAAAAAAAACTATCTGAAACCTACATGAATACAAAATTTCTCCTAATTTTTCACGGTCGGAAAAAAAATACTTTGAACAAATGAATAAGTCATCGTTTGTTTTTTTCTCTCTAAATGAATTAAATACAACAATATCAATCCCAAACTCAAAACAGTTTCTCGAAAATTATTTTAAAAATCTTTTGCCAACGGTTTCTCAAGTTTTCTTCTATATAACGTTTCAATTTCTAGTCTTGTTCTTAACGGTGACAAACTCATAAGTTGTATGTACCAACTTTGAAGTCAAATTTGTTTTTATGGGATATTTAGACACCCCTGTCAAAAGCGCATGGCCTATTGGATAAGAATGATTTCGATCATTGTTAGAATTGGTTTACTTTTTCAAATATCATTAGTGAACAGCAAATTTTCAACTAGAATTAGTTTAGTTACTGTTTTATGATGTTATTTGTTATGTTGAAATTCCTTTTGAACTAATCTTAGTTTAAAAGTCCACTGAGGTTCTTGGGAAAAGTCCTTTTTTAAACCAAGCTCCATCTTTCAAAGAAATGTCAGTTCAAAACAGTTTTACCCTGTCTTAGATAAGTTTCAAGCATTTAGATTAATCACACCTTTCAACATGATATAGTCTAACAATTGGAACGAGTACTAGATTTTTTGGATTATCTAATCGGACGAAGTTTACCAAGATTGCGAAAAGTTCCAAGTAGCATTTATCGCAAAAGATTCAGTTCACATCGAAGACTTAGAAAACCCACCGGTCATACACAAACTGACAAACACTCCGGATACGACCGCGAACCAAGCCTATCAGTTGGAAAAAAAAAAGAAATAAAAAACGAGCGATTTTGACGTATAGCGAAGAGTAACCAATGCAAAAAGCCAA